ACCCTTAATGTCACACCATGTCATCATATCAAGTCAGTGTCTCTAAAAACTCGGCTCTTGTCCTTTCCTCATCGTTTACCGACTGGTGGTCCTGTGACCCTCCAGGGTCAGGAAAGCCACACAGGACAGCCAGGCCTGGTCTTGCTGTTGCTGGGGATATTCTGTGGGTGTTGATGACGCTCACTCTGAATTGCTTACATTGAGCCCAAGGCACAGTAGAAATGATGTACACAACTCTGAGGCCGGGGCTTCTGCCAGGCAGAGGGAGTATGCAGTAAGATACACAAAGGCTGGAAACCTCTGCTTCTGTACCACTCCAGCTGGAAAGGGAATCAGCCACACATTCCAGCTCCGCTTGGGTAGTACCAAAACATGCGAGCTGTAATCATCTAGGTATGCTCTCTACAATTGAAATAATGCCGGGGTGCCGGTGCCACATGCCTCATGGGCTTCCAACGAGCATTTTTTCCCAAGGACCAATTATTGGAAAATTCGGCCTCTCTCCTCTTCTCATTCCTCACCCATCCAAGGAAAGGTTGTCGCATGCCAGGATGTCTGACTGTTACAATAAGTCCTGAAGCCATTCAAACACAGGTGTTGGAAGAGGTCAGCCCTTGAACCCTGGATTAAATACTTAAAGGTTTATGGATGTTGTTTTTCATGTTAATGCCTGTTTTAGTTAGGGTTTCTAGTACTGCGACAAAACACCATGACCAAGAAGCAAGTTGGGGAGGAAAGGGTTTATTCGGCTTACACTTCCACACTGCTGTTCATCACTGAGGAAGTCAGGACAGGAACTCAAACAGGACAGAATTCCAGTGGCAGGAGCTGGTACAGAGGCCATGAACGGGTGATGCTTACTGGCTTGCTCAGCCTGCTTTCTTATAGAACCCAGGACCAGCAGCCCAGGGATGGCACCACCCACCATTGATCACTAATTGAGAAAATGTCTTACAGCTGGATCTCATGGAGGCGTTTCTTCAGCTGAGGCTCCTTCCTCTCTGATGACTCTAGCTTGTGTCAAGTTGACACACAAAACCAGCCAGTATAGTGCGTAAGAGTCTGATGGGACCCTAGAGCAGGAGGAACACATATCCCAGTTTACTCAAGATGTTTTCTTGCAAAAGTGCTCGGATTGGGCCAAAAGTCACATAAGCCCTTTGCCTTAAAGGTTATTCAGTTGGTCTTTCACTTCGGTTCATATTTAATGTACAAACCCAGCGTTCTGCTTTTGTCTCCTTCTGGACAAGTGGCCTCTGGTTTACTGTTTAATGTCAGCAGCTCACTGCTTTTCAAGGAATTGCTCAGGAGCTCACGGTTCTGCAGCAAAGGCTTCCTTCCTTCTCCAGCTTACTCTTCCATTCTAGTTCCTTCTACTGGGATAATAAAAGAGCATCTTTCCTGTCTCTTTTGACATATCTGTGAACTCATTTCTGCTACTTTAATCCAGTGGTTCTCAACCTGTGGGTTGCAACCTCTTTGAGGGCCGCATATCAGACATCCTGCGTATCAGATATTTATTACATTACAATTCATAACAGTAGCAAAATTACCATTATGAAGTAGCCACATAATAATAATTTTATGGTGGGGGGTCACCACAACACGAGGAACTGTATTAAAGGGTCACAGCACTAGGGAGGTTGAGAACCACTGCTTTAATTCATTTTTTTGACATCTGAAATTTCCAGATGCTTGATCTGATTTTAGACTAAAGTACTTTAAAGACAAGAGGAGGAATTGTGCTGAGCTTTCTCACAGACCTCCTAGAGCAGAGCTGTGCCCATGTATTTGGAGATAAGGCCAGCATCCTGTGATGAGGCTGTCTTTAGATCTCTGATTGTTTCATCAGTGCAGGTGAATGACTTAAGAAAGAACATCTTTATGGGCAGGAAATGAGCATTTCATGAAGAAACGAGACTCCCCTGATGGACCATTCTAAGCTAATGGTAGAAGCAGGATCCATGGGACTTTCAAAAATGGTTGTAACAATGATAGATGTTGGCTTTTATGTTATCATGTTCGTTCAGCCTAGTATTTGGCTTCCTGCTGCTGTTGCATAGAAGACCCTCATTTTTAGCTTCTATTGAAGATATAAAATCATCTAATGATGTTTTCTCTTTATTTGGGGCTGTAAATCATCTCAGAGCTGTTTCTCTCCCCATCTTCTGTATATTGATGCATTTCTGAGCGTCGCTACCTTTCCTAAGGCCGTCCATTTGGTTGGCTATGAACCAATCTTTTGATTATGTTCCATCTGGATTCTTGGTTTGCCCACAGATAGATTTTGAGGCTGGGTGGTGCAGAAGGGAAACTTGCCTGTGATGCCTGGTTTTCTGACGGAATAGATGGAGCTGGGGACATTGACAACCTCAGCACACACTGCTGGTAGACGTTTCATAATTTGTTTTGTTGCTTACGCAGCTTCAGTGTGAGAGCCATGCTCTTTAAATGCAAAGCATCATGGTTAATTCCTTCTATGTCCTTCTCATGGCTTCTTGGCGCCCATGCTATAGGAAAAGTGGGCAGGACGTGGTTGGTGGCCTAGGGCAGTGTGGAGACCAAGTGGCTGGTGTTTTACTTCCCCAGCAGAGCCTTTGTCTTGGTTCTTGTCTGGGTGGATGGTGGGGATGGGCCAGGGCCCATCTTGTTCATTGTTGGGTGTGACCTTGTCTGCTCTGCTTCAGCACTCTATGCTGAAGCCACCTCTGGCCATCTTGGAGTCAGTGGGCCTCCTGTCCGCATTTTGGCAATTGCAATTTTGTTTTTGTGTGGGTTTTGAGTTTCATTCCTTAGGGTATGTCATCCTACATCTGTTTGGTGTGACAGTGGGAGCCTCTGCACAAAGGTATGCTAATCTGGAAGCTCTTCACACTGTTATTGGTTAGTTCAACAGTTCACCCTACACCTGGAACCTAGCCTGCATGTGTGCTAATGGCATGTCCAGCGTCAGAATCACTCTCCACAGCTCAACCTCTGTGTGTCAATTGCCAGATCTGTCCAACGGCATCGTGTGTGTGTGTGTGTGTGTGTGTGTGTGTGTGTGTGTGTGTGTGTGTATCCAGTAGGCTTGTAAGCTTCTTGAAGTCTCATCACATCTGCGTTGAGTCAGCTACTCTGTCTTGTTAGGCTTTGATTTCTTGATTTAGAAGAATGAGTCTATATGTGATGTTCACCTAGTGGTCTGCCGAGTGACTCAATGGATAACAAACCAACAGTATTGAGTTTGATGCATGCTAGGGGTTTAACACTTATTGATGGCATAAATAAGCCAATACGTGTAATATTATATTGCAAATGCAAGACTTTTTCTTATGCTAAACTTTACTAAATTTGCAAGACTCACAGTACTAGTTGCTCTATTCTAGAGATTTTTCTGAGTGTTGCCAGAAAGTTTAGGGGCCAGGAGGGAACAATCAAATGTAATGGCCGTGAGTGAAAACCACAGACACTGAGCAGCTTAATGTGCACGGACAAGTTTAGTAGACTCTTCAGAAAGGCATCAATCATGGGACGATGGCAGCTTTGGGGGGAGTAGTGAAGAGACACTTGACTAGGAGCCAGAGCATGAAAGAGAAAGACTTTTAGAATTAGTTTTCCATAGGCAGAGCCGGAGTGATGGTCAGCACACACAGGAAAGGTGTGCTAGGAGATTTACTTATTGCAATATTGGAGCTTTGCTTTTCTTTTCTTTTTGTGATGCGGGGGTAGTGGTGGTGGTGGTGGTGGTGGTTTTATGGATTTGCTTATTTGGACTGAGGTACTAACAGTGTCAGCCCCAGGGATGGTGCCGTTATTGCTTTCCATACACAATCCTGTTCTCCATCTGGGTGTAGCGCGGCTGCTTGGGGCTCCCAGAGTGAATATTGAAACCACCACTGATTATGTTCCTTCTCAGGTAACATTTTCTGCTGTAAAACATCCTTGCCGAATCACGTCTAGATACACCAAAGTGTAGCGTGGTCATCGTGATAATTCTGACATACAATACTGGCGCCTTAACTTCTGCCTTGGTTTCTGCGGTACCAGAGATTCAAAATGAGTTAGGATGACAAATGTCTGTCGAAGGCAATGTAGAACCACCATACGTACGGGGTCGCAGCCTCTAGTTGTCCTCAGGAGACAGAGCATGCAGAAATGGACAGAGTGCTGGGCGGCTGTCGGGATTCAGTCCTAATGCCGCAGGAGGGGAAAGCCAACAGGCTTGGGTCCAGCATATAACCACTGTGGGCTTAATCTCTTCATTGAAGGAGCCTAGGAGCCTTCAGGCTGCAGGCTTTTCAGTTCTAGGATGTCTTCTGGCTGAAGGGAAATAAGCTGTAATCATCAGATTTCTGGATCAGCTGGCTTGACTTTGAACAATGAAGCTCCCGGTGGTTGGGTGTCTTGGCCAGTGGCTGAGCTTACCCTCTCCATGTCTCAGTGTCTAGCTATAAGATGGTCTTGGTGCTAACTGTCCTGGATCAGTTTAGATGTGCAGTGTGGATTTTGATTCAGTGGCTGAACAGACGTACCGGGAGATGCAGGCTCTTTCTGACAACGTCATCATATATATTTCCATCTTTACATTTATCGTCTCATCTTAAAGGATAGCTGTGGTCCTTTCAGATAGTATGGCTCTACCTACCAATAGCCGGAGGCCCAAGGGGGAAGTGGGAGGGGCCAGCAGGGTTCACAGAGGAGGAAGGGTATTAGGGTCTGTGTTCCAGGGCTACTTTCTCATCTCTGAAAATAACAATGCATTTGCAAAAGCTCCAGATGATACCCCCTTTATACCATCTACCAGAATGAGGCCACAGGCCTCCCTCACCTGCACAGGAAATTGACAAACATCTTCCAGCTCTATTGATAGGGCATAAGAAGGAGTGATTTGGAGTCAACCAGCAAACAGGCTTCCTTCCTGCCCATGGCCATCAAAGAACACGACCAAGGAAGAGCATTTGTTCTGATTGAGTGCTTAGCTCCTGGGTCAGAGTCAGACTTAGAGGCGACACTGGATAACGGTGGGCGTTCCCTGAGAGGCTGTTCTTGTGCCTGATTGGACTCTCCCAGAGTTTCCCCCTCTGTGGTGTGCGAGTTCAGGGCCTTTGGTGTTCGGCGTTAGAGAACTGACTTTTCATCCTTACAGTAGTGTATGGCTCCCTGGCGTGAGCTCTGCTTGTGCTAGCTTCAGTGTGGGCTTCAGGATTACTGACACCTTAAACTGTGAGAGAAGACTGGGTAGCCCAGTATGTTATTAGTTACTTCCCTTGCTGCTACACCAAAATACCCGGCAAAAGTGATTGAAGGAAGGAAGGAGGGAAGGAAGGAAGGAAAGAAGGAAGAAGGGAAGAAAGGAGGGAAGGAAGGAAGGAGTAATTTTGGCTTATTGTCCCAAGGGATACTGCCCATCATGGCAGGGAAGTATGGTGGTAGGAACCCGAGGTGGCTGGCCATGTTACATCTGCAGGCGGGAAGCAGAGTGTGATGAAGGTCGATGCTCAGCATCCTCTTCCCTTTTTCTCCATCTATGACATCACCCCATGGGATGGTGCGGAGTGTGAGGAACCCAATCCAGATCATCCACTTCAGTTAACCCAGTCTAGACACTCCCTCAGAGGCATGTCCATCTCCCAGGTGACCACAGATTTCGTCGAGCTGATGATCAATCAATACTAACCATCACAATGGGTAAGGAAGGCAGAGATTGTCCTGGGCAAGGTGCTTTGCTTCCCTCAGCCCCTTAGGAACAAAACTCCAGGTACTTCCTGTTGCGTGGGTCCATCCTGTGTCCATGTCCCCCAGGCCCCTCCCCCACTCCTTACTTTGTGGTGTCTCGGTCTGTCTTAGCACTTCGTGCCAGAGGGTCGTGTAGGACTCTACGGAGGCTGCCATGGGACGTCTGACCTATAAGAGAACTCCAGATCTTAGTGTCCCCTTGGAAGGACAGATTCTGAAGTTGTCCAGAAGCCTGGAAGGAAAGCAACCAGATGCCGTGAGTGACAGGGCTGTGGGAAGGCAGAAGCCATGAGGTAAACAAATAAGTTGTGGGAAAACCTGTAGGACCTGGGCACCGGTGGCGTGACAGCATCCTGGGGACAGCCCCCCTTGTATACGGGACAAGAAGACCAGCTCCCTGGAGCTGCCTCACTCCGGTGGTTGGTGGTTGCTGTTCTTCTCCGGTGCCCTGGGCATCCTCCACCTGGAGACTGTCTACTGCCTTCCTTCCTTCTCCTGTAAGTGCCCCGTTCCGGGAGGGCACGGCATGCAAAGGTCTCTCTCGCTGGTCCTCCTAACTGTGGAGCCTCACTCAAAGAAAAGAGGAGCTTTTTAGGCATCGCAGGGAGCTGTTCTGTTCCTAATTAGAGTAAGAGAGGGAGGCTGACGAAGCGCAGCCTCAGCGGTGGCGGGCGCAGCTTCCCCAGCCCAGCTGTGCCTCAGGAATGGCCACCCTCACGGCCAGCAGAAGAGTACCCCCACCTCCCTCCACACGCCTTTTAGGACAAGATGGGGTTTTGTCCTGTGCAGACTCAGTGCCCCAGTACCTGGTGCTGGAGCTCCCTGCCCCCACTGGTCAGAGAGCCCCGGTCTGTTCTGCCGTCAGACGCCAGCTCCCTTTACGTAATAGTTCCTTGGCGGTTGTGGGCAAAGTTGAGTTATTTGGTTGATTCCTACCTATGACACAAGAACAGTCGGCTTGGCTGTACCCTCTGGCCTGTGCTGCTCTCTGTCTTGTTGGGCTTTAAGGATTCACAAAGCTTTGGTGACCGTCCCCCAGATGTCATTCCTAAGTAGCACCTTGCTTACCATGTGTAGATCTCCAAAGAGTTCAACGGAAGTGGTACCGGGACCTGAGACATTGGTCACTGCCACGTTGGTGGGTTGTGATCAGGGCAGGTTGCCCTTCGGTGGCCCCCAGGCTGTAGTTTCTTGCACAGTTTGTAAGCTTTTTCTCTTTGCAGCCCCCCTCCCCCCCACCCCACCCCCACCAGAAGTGGCTGTGTTCATTTGATTGGAATGATCTCTTGACGTCTGGCAGCTGGAACAGGAGTCAACCCAGTTGAAAAGGCCCGTCTCCCCAGCGTCTTGGCACAGCTGATTTCCCGGTATGGAACGGTTAGGCCACTTTTCAACGTCATTTTCCAGACACACGTCTTCTTTATTTACTAACTCGAGGGTTCTGCCGTTTCTTATGCCGCCCCCCATTCCTCCGTTCCTTACTGTTGACCGTGTCTGCCCTTTTCCTTTAGCTTGACTTTTCCATGGACAACAGACTCGACGGTCCTCGCTGTGCTAGGGAGAGAATGTGGACCCTCTGTGGGTATCCTGGAGGGGGCACCCAACCAGTGTCTTTGCCTCCTACTCCCTCTGGCCATTTAAACATTGCAGTCTGTGGGTGGGTGGGACATGGGACATGGGGTGTGAGGGCTGGTTTATGCCCAACATCTGCAGTTAAAAACCTAAACACATTTCCTACAGAAACAGTATTATGCATGAAGGGCAGAAAGTCTGCTTACTATACCCTCCCAGAGCCCAACACTGCAGTTGAGCTGTAGTAGAGACGTCGGACTCTAGCTGTACAGGAACCTCCCGGGGTATGCTGTTCAAGCCCCAGGAGGACCCTTTCTCAAGAAATGTGGATGGTACTAGTCTAAACAAGAGTCCTGAAAAACACGTCCCTGGGGTGTCCTTTGGACATGACAGGGTAGCCGCACACGTGAACTCACAGCGCGTGTGTCAGCATGGGCAAGCTGTGTGAGCTCAAGCCAGACCAAATGCTGGCATGGAGGGAGGAGGTAGACGGGAAGTCCCACCCAGAGCTGAGGATCTGATGGCCACTGATGGCTGCTGGGAGGGGCGGAGTTCATTTTCTTTAAGAGTGCTGTCCTGGATAGGTCAACCGTGTCCCAGTGGAGGCTCGCACATCCGTGAATGTGTGCACAGCATGAATTGCGCTTCATGATGAACAACAACAGCAACAAAAAGGACACAAAGTTGGGTGTGAATGGGAAGAGGGGTGGATCTGGGAGGAGCCGGGGAGGGATGAATACGGTCAGACTCATTGCATGGAATCCTCAAAGGACTAGTTCAAAACAAAAAGGGAAAAAATGTTTTCTTGGCAACTTTCTGGTGCAGCCAGGGTGGGCCCTGTGACCCTGAGGAAGGCTTAGGGCCAGGGAAAGGAGACTGAATGTCCAGGTGCGGGACTAAAGGATGCTCTCTGTTGGCCTGTTTGGGGGTCACAGTGCAACACAGTCAAGTTGGGGTTCAGTGTGGGGAGATGGGGTCTTAGGCGTGTTTGTGGAGACAGACTTCCAGGGCAGGACCCGTCCACACTGTGGGGATTTCCCCTCTCCTCTCATGTCACCCATCCCTCTTTGGAGCTCCTACAAAGCTAAGCTTTTTATTCTATTCTTTTTATTTTATTCTTTCTTTCCTCATTTCTAGTACTGCTTCATTTCCTCTGATGTCTTTTCATTTTCCTTCTCTTCTGCTTCCTCTTACCTCTGCCCTGGGCTCTTCACTTCCTCTTCCTGTGTGCTCTGACCCACTGTGCTCTGACCCTTGACCTCCTCTTCCTGTGTGCTCTGACCCACTGTGCTCTGACCCTTCACTTCCTCTTCCTGTGTGCTCTGACCCACGCTGCTCTGACCCTTGACCTCCTCTTCCTGTGTGCTCTGACCCACTGTGCTCTGACTCTTCACTTCCTCTTCCTGTGTGCTCTGACTCACTCACTCTGCCCTGGGCCCTTCACTTCCTCTTCCTGTGTGCTCTGACCCAGGCTGCTCACAGCTTCCCCTTCCCTGTTCCAGGCCTTCCCCCCTGCTTCCCTCTTGCCCAATCTCCACTGTCTCTTCCCCCGTCCCTCCCTCCAGCATACCTGTCATTTATTATGCAAAGCTGCTTACGGTGTGTGAGAGAAACACGAGGTACAAGGAACCCCACTCTAAGAGTTTATAGGGGAGGTGGAATCGGCCTACTGGAAGCGGAAGGTGTGGGAGAAGGGCAAACAGGTGGAATCTGCTTTTATGCCTCCCAGCCCCCTCCTGCACCTGAGCATGCGCTTAAGGGCCTACACAGCTACGCCACGCATGCGCATGTGGTCACATTGCGAGAAAATTAAGCGATCATGCGGCGTATGGATTATGTAGCCCTGGGATGACTAAGCATCTTGCCTGGCTGCTGGACAGTGCATGTGAGGTCATGCAGCTGGGGGAGTGGCTAGGAATTCTATCATCCCCCTGCCCCAGTCAGCCAGGTGCCCCAGCTGAGGCCAGGTCTCTCAGGCTTCTTCCCACAGCAATGGGCCACGCATGGCTCTGCTCCACCAGACAGCAGATGGATTTCCTAGGCTAGGAGGGCTGGTGGAGGTAACTCAGGAATAGGAACGACAAACTGCGAAGGACAAGAGGATTAAATAGCCACTCTTACTCCGCCCACACCCCTACTTTGGGGACTAAAGGTAAGCTTGTAAAGGTTTTCGAACCCTGAATCACGGCGGCCTGGGGAGGCGAGACTGCACCTTCTCATCCCTTCTCTGTCAGGAGAGATTTCTAGGCAATTCCTCGCTGCTTCCTGCCCCTTGAGTTTTCTGCAGGCTGAGTAGTTCATCCTTTCCCTTCAGCCCCCTCCAGAGCTTCTGGTACTTCTGTTGTTAGTGATGTATCACACACACACACACACACACACACACACACACACACACACACACACACACACACGCTAATGGGCCCCAACCTACAGAACTGGGTCAGCTTTCTCTTTTCCTCTGCAAGAAAGATCAGAGGAAGGAGAAAAACAAAATAAACAAATACCTCACCTACAAACGGAGCCCAGAAACATCAAGTTTGAACTATTTAAATATGTTTCCTTCTGGCAAGGCTCTGTCCAGACTGGTGGGAAATATAACATCCTTAGCCTGGGAGAGCCTCCTGGGAGAGAAATGAGGTACGTCTTCCCGGCTCTGCTCCTGGATCCACAACTAGCTGCTGTCATCCCAGGGTCTTGGCCTGTCCTCATGTGCTCTCTCTCCACCTGCCTACCAGGAACATGGGTTATAGTGGAGGGAACAGGAGACGGTCGAATGTATTTGTATGTTTTCCATTGATATACCAAAATATCAGAGGCCAGGCAACTTACACAGTGAAGCATTTATTTGGCTTATTGTTCTCGACTGTGAGCACGGTGTCTGAATTAGGGTTCTCTTGCTATGAAGAGACACCGTGACCGTGGCAACTCTTATATAAAGGAAAGCATTTAACTGGGGGTGACTTAGAGTTCTGAGATTTAGTCCGTTATTGTCATGGTGGAGAACATGATGACTTGCAGGCAGACATGATGCTGAGAGGTCCACATCTGGATCTTCAGGCGGTAGGAAGAGAGAGTGACTCTGGGCTTGAGCATCTGAAACCTCAAACCCCACTCCCAGTGACACCTTCCTCCAACAAAGCCACACCTCCTGTATGAACCTTTGAAGGACAAACTACATTCAAGCCACAGTAGGAACACAGCATGGGTGTGCATGGGTGAGACTGGGTCTCGGGCCCCACCTCTCGGAGCTTCCTAAAGTCTTAGGTTGGCATCCACAGGAGTCTCTACAGGAGGTGAGATTTTGCCCACTACAAACCCTCAACAGTGAGGGCTGGGAACGTGGAGCCAGAGAGCATTCCCTGAGCCAGTCTCCTCATGGAGGATATAAAGGAGAAAATGGAGTGAATGACCATTGGGCTTTCAGGGAGGTGGCCAGTAAGGGGGGAGCAAATTTGGACAGATGGTTGCACAGACCCTGGGAAAGAGGGTCATGTTAACAACAGTGACAGAAACAATAGCAATAGCAGCAACAACAACAATAGCAATAACAGCAACAACAATAACAACAGCAACAACAATAATAACAACAACAGCAACAGCAATAGCAATAACAGTATTCGGGAGGCTTTGGCGGGTTTGAGCCAAGGTAGGTAGGTGGCCAAGGAGGCACATCATGCAGACACAGCATCCACGTGGAAAGTTTTATTATTAAAGGGGGAGGGGAGAGGGAAGAGAGGGAAGGAGAGAGGTGGGAGAGTGAAAGAGAGGGAAAGAGAGAGAGAGAGAGAGAGAGAGAGAGAGAGAGAGAGAGAGAGAGAAAGCAGAGATGTGTACTACCTCATGGCAAGAAAGGGAAGAAGGAAGGAGAGGGGAGGGGTTTTTTCTTAAAGGGGACTTTACGTAAAATGACGTGATCAGAACACTGGGTGGGTCCCCCAGGGGCGGTTCTGAATGCTAACAGTAACAACAACAGCAGCAGCAATAACAATAACAGCAGCATCAACATGTTTTGTTGTTCTATGATGCAGTCTTCAACTCATCTTCCTAGACTGTACCTTATCTGAGCCCAAGGATAAGTACTGAGAGCTTAACAAGGTACCCAGCCTCCGAACAGGAATTCAGTGGGCTAAGAAGCTTGTCTAGGGTTCTCACGTCTGGCAAATTGCAGAGCTCAGGTCCTGGATCATCCTGCGTAAATGTCGCACAATACTGGGTCTGCATTACATGTCGATCTGGCCGCTGTGTGGTGAGATCCACACAGGGTTCTTTAACTGCTGCCACAGAAGTTGAAGTGAATTGCTCCATGCTCACTTAGAAGGGAGAAGAGAGCCCAGACCATCCACTGTTCAGGCTTGGAGCATCTCTGGAGCTGACAGCCATGAGGCCTGGACCCTTTGGGGAGCAGCCAGAAGAGCTCAGTGCTCATCCCAAGGGGATCTAGAGTTCCGTTTGGCCAGGAATACAGGATGCAGGAGGGTTTGTGAGGGGCAAGTGTGGATGTGACAGGACCTTCTCTGTGGCATGTGGCAGGTGTGGCTTAGCCCATGGTGTGTCTTTGTGGTCAATATGGCAATCATTAAGAATTGTTATTCTTAATGGGAGTGCCCACCATGGACTAGGGGAGAAGA